GCACCCCCCCCACCGGTACCCGCACCCCGCAGGACCCGCACCCGGGTCCGAACCTGGTGCGGAGCTGCCGCGTCCCGTCCCGCTGCGCTTCCAGGTGAGGCTGGCGGGCTCGGCGTGGGGCGGTGCCTTATATAGCCCGGCCACCGCCCAGTCTGCCCGCCCATTGGCTGCCCGCCGCCCGCGCGGCCTGATGGGAAGCGTAGTCCGCACATGGCTGCTGCTGCCCCGCGGAGCCCCCGGGAGAACTACAGCTCCCGACGTGCACCGCGGCGGAGGGGGGACAGGGCGGGGGTGCGGCCGGGGGTGTCACCCGCGGTGGGAAGACATGGACTGGGCTCCGCATGGACACCGATGCTGTATGGGCATCGATCCATATGGACACAGCTCTTATATAGACACCGCTCCTGCATGGACACTGATCCATATGGACACAGCTCTTACATAGACACCGCTCCTGCATGGACACCGATCCGTATGGACACAGCTCTTATATAGACACCGCTCCTGCATGGACACTGATCCATATGGACACAGCTCTTATATAGACACCGCTCCTGCATGGACACTGATCCATATGGACACAGCTCTTATATAGACACCGCTCCTGCATGGACACTGATCCATATGGACACAGCTCTTACATAGACACCGCTCCTGCATGGACACCGATCCATATGGACACAGCTCGTATATAGACACCACTCCCGCATGGACACTGATCCATATGGATGCAGATCCCGTATAGACACTGCTCCCATATGGACACAGCTCCCTTACAGACACCACTCCCACATGGACACTGATCCATATGGACACAGCTCCTGCATAGACATTGTGCCTGCAAAGACACTGCTCTGCATGTGCCCCAGCTGCCTTCAGCATCACACCCACCCTTGCTGCCTCCCCACATCTGGGTGCCAGCTGTGAGGGGCAGCAGGGTGGTCCCCATTGGACCCCAGGGCACTGTCCCAACTCCAAACCCTCCCCAGAAGCAGGCGCCCCACAGCCATGGGGCTCCAAAGGGATGCACCAGTCCCCCACAGCCCTGGGCTGAAGCAGACCTAGCCTAGGAAAGCAAGCTCTGGGGATAAAAATAGCCCTGTGTTTTCACAGCTGGGGAGCTGCTCAGCCTGTGGCTGCACCGGCTCCAGCCACGGTGCTGCCTGTGGAGATCCGGTCTGTAAAGCAGCAGTGGGCAAGGAGCAGACCATGCTCACAGAGGCCTCACTTGGCTGTAGCAAGGCAAGATGGTGCAGAAAGCATGGACCCACCAGCACAGATCAGATGGGCTGGGGTGCATGTGGGAAAAATACCGTGGGTGTAAGTGCAGGCAGCCCATGTGCTCCTGCCTGGGCTGGGGAGCAGGAAGGGGGCTGGTGGTCCAGGAGGCACATCCACACTGGCCACCAGGATGGGATGGTTGGAAGGCCAGGATCACAGCATGGTTTGGGTTGGAAGGGACCTTAAAGCTCCTCCAGTTCCAACCCCTGTCATGGGCAGGGACCCCTTCCACTAGAGCAGCTTGCTCCAAGCCCCTGTGTCCAACCTGGCCTTGAACACTGCCAGGGATGGGGCAGCCACAGCTTCTCTGGGCACCCTGTGCCAGCGCCTCAGCACCCTCACAGGGGGAAGAACTGGGAGGCCTTGCAGTAGGATCCTCAGGTGCTGAAGGGAAAACCAGCACCAACCCTTGTGCAGGGATCCGGGTGTCACCGTGAGCAGGAACCTGCTGCGAGCACTACGGGTACCGACTGCACTGCAGCGGCTCCCTCGCCTGCCCAGGCTCTGGGGCTCTCTCCAGGCTTATGGGAGATTTTGCAGAGAAAATCCCCAGCAAGCCTGAGGAAACACTCGCTTTGTGTTCGAGCTGCACCTTGGGAGCGGGGCTCCAGCGCCAGCACATCTTGGCCTGAGGTGCCCCTTGGCCTGAGGATACAGGCACCTTCCAGCTCCAGCCAGCAAACAGGCTCTGAACTGAGGAAATGCCAGTGTTGATGCACACAGCGAAGGCAAAGGCCAAGATCTAAGGTCAGTATTAAGCTGTGGTTGCTACTCTGAGAGCAGTCTGAATGGCAAACAACCTCTGGTCCCTCTCCACCAGGAGCAGCCAGCCCAGGCATGGCTGCCCCCATGAGCATCCTTCAAGCCCCCCCCCATACCACAAAGCCCAGCCTGCACTGAGAAACAGCTCATTTTTTCCTGCACAGCCAAAAGGAAACACCCCCCCCCAGTTTCCAAACGAAAGCAGGAAATCCTTTTTGCCTTCATGCAAATCATCAGAGGAGTGCATCACCGTGCGTTCACCCTCCAGCCGTGCTGCCTTCCCCCTCTTCCCTGCCTGCTCCCCGCATGCTTCTCCTTGGCGGATGCAGCACAGCCTCCTGTGGCTTTTGTCCCCAGCAGGCAGTGAGTGTGCAAGAACCTGGTCCTCATCCCCATCCCCATCCTCATCCTCCCCTGGCTGCACCCACCCAGCCGAGGTGCAGCCCTGGGTGATGGCTCCATCCCCTCCACACTGCAGCACGCTGCGAACGAGGTCTTTGTCTGCCCAGGCACAAAGCCCCTGCGGTGGCCATGCTCCAACGGGAGCTCCCCCTTCCCTGAGCCGGCCACGCTCCTGCAGACCACAGCCAGGGCAGCCTTAGAGCCCTCTGCACCCCCAGCAGCAAGCTCTGGGGAGCCTTTACAAGCCCTCCTGCATAGAGAACAACAGAGGGGTTTATATCCCACCAAGAGCTCTTTTCCCCCCGTGACAAATCTGCAAAGCCTCCCATAACTGCACAACCTGCTTCTTCCCCATGTGGTTTGATGCTTCTGCTTTCAGTAACTGATAATGAAAGAACCGAGAACAGAGAAGGGGAAAGCAAACCTGACCTGAAACGGAAGAGAGGGGCTGCAGCCATTTTAGACGAGGTTTAAACCTCCCTCACAACACAGCTGTCAGGGCTCTGACACAGCCACGTCCAGAACACTTCATTCTCTTCACCAGGTGGTTTTCTCTCTCTGATCACTTTATTTCCATCTCCTCCTTACAGGGACAGCCAGGCCCTGAGCCCCTTCAGCCACCACTGGGCCATGAGCCAGCCCCACAGCTCCCAGTTGACATCTTCCTGCCCATCTATAACCCCATCCTCCCTCAAGACCACTGCCTTCTATCAGCGCAGGAGTGGGGACCCCAGAAAGGCAGCCTCCACTGCCCATCACCAGCGAGGCAAGCTGCTGCCATCTCCACATCACAAACACCAACCCTCGAGCTCAGAAATCACCTGCACGCTGTAATGCACAGGGAGAAAAGGAGCCAACTGCTGCTGCAAGCAATGTGGGACACGTCTCATCCTGCTCCCAACAGCAAAGTGCTCTGCCTGCAAGGCAAACCCAGCTTCCAGGCATCCCCACCCTGCATTAGCTTCAGCTACCCAGGCACATGAACATTCATATTTGCTATGCTATGCAGGTTTCCCCCTACCTGTTACGTGAATGGATTTGCTCAGGTACATCACTGAACAGTGTGAGAAAAGCTCCACCACCAGCTCCAAGAATTAAGTCAAGGAAATCAGACACAGAGAAAAGCCCCTTGGTCCCAAGCTTTTCCTTGCATGTGATGTGCGCACAGCCAAGCTGGAGCTCACCGTCAAGAGGTTTAAACCAGGTGAGCTTCCAAGGTCCCTTCCACATGATGCTCTACCAACACCATGTACTTGCAGGTGACCCATCCCCTCTGTCAGGGTTTTAGAAGCATTTCCAGGCTGAGGCCATGGTTTTTAAATAAAAGTTTAATTCCTTCATCAGGTTTAAACACAAACGCTGCTGGAAATCCTGCTCAGTGCCCCGGCTCTGGGCTCGCAGGGCACTGGCAGCGTGGCAGCAGGGGCTCCAAACACAGGAGGCAGGAATCAGACTCTCGGTAGAGCTCAGTGCAGGATGCGAAGCAAGGAAGCAAGAGACACACTTTCTGGACAGACACCGAATCTTATACATCAAGAAAAGCCCCCACACTGGAATAGAAGTAGTAAGGTTGCCACAGAACAGGAGTTGTAGGAAGGGAGAGAAGTCTTCAGTAAAAGGCACAACTAAGGAAGTACTTCCCTAGATCTTAACCAAGTCTTCCAGTTAGTTCCACTGACACCCCAGCCATGCGTGTTACCCTGGCAAGTCATTTCGAGTTCCTTATTTTCCCTTCCTCCAAAACAAACAGGAGTGCTTATAAAAACCAGCACATGTAAGAGCTCAGTCTATAACCCCAGGAGAGACTCAACAGTTTACCATATGATTGTCTGGTACAGTTACTCAGGATTCAAGTTTCAGGGGATGCCTATACCTGGGAACCTCAGCCAGCTCTAGTTTTGGTATTTTTCTTTCAGGCACTTTGCTGCCTGTCAAGTTGGTGCTGGATCCATGGTTTTCCCAGTACTGTGTACCACCAGCCTCTCCAACCCATCGCTGTAAGCACCCATTAGCAGCATCAGACCCACTCCAAGGCCTTCTTCAGGTTTTGTAGTCCCACAGTCTCCTATGTTCCTTGGTTTAAGACCTTTTGCAAGGAGCAACTTTCAAGGCAAGGCAGACAGTGACCAGGGCAAGCAACCAGAATGTGTCAGTAACCTACAGGACAACAGGATCACAGGCAACGAGAAGCTAAGACATCTGGACACAAAACTGTTGCGTTTTAGGCCACCCAGTGTCTGAGCAGGCACTTGCTAGATGCAACAACCAAGCTACTATGGGATAAAGAGGCTCAGTTTACGAGTGTACTGGTAAAAAACAGGATCCAGGATTTGCACAGCAGGTCAAGGTGCAGCTGCAGTACATGGCAGCACTCCTCCCATCACTAGCAAGGCCAGCGGCTCTGAAACTGAGCAACTGGTTTCAACCTACACCAGAAACTAAAGCACACAACCACCATCAGTCCTCTGCGTAAGAGGGAGAAGAATGCTTGTCCAGGGTGAATTACAGCAAGGCAGTACTGCACAGACTATGCTCTCACCTTCACTTTGCTGCGCAGCATGCTAAAAGGACATCTAATTTCATTAATAAGATTAACTCAAGGTTGAAAGCAACACTGACCTCCTTCCATGGGAGAAAGCTGTAGCAGAACCACCCCCCAGGTGTCCCCCAGGGTTTTACCTAGGGTCAAGCTTGGCCAAGATACAAACCTTCCCCATCGCTCTTGAAGGGCTTCTATCAGGTATAGAGGGGTAAGACAGCCAGCAGTCTCTCGGGCTCTTGCTGTAGATCCACATCAACACGTCCTAGGGAGCTCTACTTCCCAAGCAATTTAGGGTTTGCATGCCAGATCATCTAACCCTCCCCCAAAACAATTGTGGCAGTAAGCCATGGGTCAGTCCTGCTCTCCACAGACCTGCAGAGATGAGTCAGTATTACTGCTGAGCCCCCATGCACAGGGCTGCTGGTGGAGTTGGGAGTGTTAGAGATGAGCTTCCCCCCTCCAGCCTCCCAGTGTTGGGATCAGAGCCAGTAAGGCTGACTTAAGCAGGAGGTGCTGTGGAGAGCTGCACTGGAACAAGCAGAGTCTTCTACTGAACTTTACAACAAGCTGAACAACTTTTGGTTTTAAAAAACAAGCCATACAAGCAGCAGCTGACACCTCTTGTTATAAAGGGACATGGCTGAACAGGTAGGAGACAGATTCCCCATTATGAGTCCTCCTGATGGCCTCTGCAAGGATCATCGAGATGTCAATCACCTGCAGGGGAAGAAAGATGTGTCAGCATCACTGAGGAAAGACATGGAGCCTGGAAGAGAGGCTGCGAAGTTGGGAAGAGCTTAAAAGAGAAAACTCATCACCCAAACCTGTAACGTGCCAGATGCTGACAAAGGATTTGTACACAGGACTGGGATTTAATTACATATCATTATGAAGGTATTCTACATATAGCAACAGTCGTTTCCCTCTTAATCTGTGTCAGGATAACAGTCCACTGTCACCTTTCTTTGCCGAGACTCCCTAAGATCAATCTGTTTACCCTAGGAACTATCTTATGTACTTTGCAGAGAAGCTGGGGGAGTCTCAATCATGACCAGCTCGCCTCCCTTGAGGCAAGAGGCTTTACCATCACTGCCAGCAGTCTAAGGCAGATGAAGCTGTGCTGCAGCTCGGGTCCCAGTCTCTGTGCTAGCTCCACCTGGTGGGTAACCCAGTTAGCAGGAGGGACAGATCAAAACTCCAGCTCTGCACCCAGCAGCTAAAGCATTTTGATGTGTGGTTGCCGTAAGAAGGACCATGTTCATGGTGCATTAAGGAAAGGAAGTGAAATCCATATTTAACATTTCCAGGTATTCTGCATCCTAAGGAAATGAAGAAAGAAACTGAGGAACTACAGAGCAGACAGAGCATAAGACTTAAATCCCTTTGTTCTGTATTTCTCACCACTGAACATCAGAAGTCAGTGTAAAGCAGTGAGGTGCTAAGTGAGAGCCTGAGCAACTACCCACTGCCATCTCTGGCTATAGCTGTTTACATACTGATAACCAGTTTAACACTTTGCCTACATGAACTGTTGTGTGGAGCTTGGCAAGAACTGAAGCATCAGACACTTCAGATGTGCTCAGTTGCAGGAATATCATCCAGAAGTTAGTGCTGACAAATATGCAACCCAACAGCAGTTTGTTATCAGTTTATAGCTTAATTCCCTAAAGGAGCCTAAAATTCACTGCAGCTTCAAACAGCTGAGTTTCCTTTCCAACAGAATCCTGGTATTGAGGCACCTGCTGCACTCACAACAGTACTAGCTGAGCCTCAGCAGTGCCATTCACTTCCCAGAACTTCTCCAAATGCCTGTGTCCTATATATCTGTGCTGTGAAGCTAGTGCTTAGGATGTCCTTTGCTGCGGATATTCTACAGCAGTACCTGAAGCTCCCGATGGACCTATTATGCCCCAATACTCAGGTAAAACTGCAGCTTCCAGCTGTCCATTAACACAGGAAACCCTCGAGTTCCACCTAGCTCAAGTTGTACAGGCATTTCTCTTTCCTTCCAGGAAAGGCAGCCTCAGCTTGGGAAACAAAATGTCACAGTACTTCTTGCTAAATGGAAACCCCAAGACACTGAGTGAGCACTTTCATACAGGCAGCCAAGTGTTTCTGTTATCTTTGGTGAGTATGTGACCATTGTACTGTGGAGCTGTGTCAGCTGCTCTTGGTCAAACCAGCAAGACGTGTCTGCGGGACAGAAGTGCATTTCCTTTCCAGCTCACTGGCACTGCTAATTAAGACCAGACCTGAGGCAATCCCCTTCCCCAGACCAGGCCTACTTTGCTTCACAAAGGGAAGAGACACTCTGCTCCAAGGGCTGGGCATTAGGTGATAGCTACACAGCTGAAGCTGGCATTCCCAATTTAGAATCACAGAATAGTTAGGGTTGGAAAGGACCTTAAGATCGTCCAGTTCCAATCCCCCTGCCATGGGCAGGGACACCTCACACTAAACCAGGGCACCCAAGGCTCTGTCCAATCTGGCCTTGAACACTGCCAGGGATGGAGCATTCACAACCTCCCTGGGCAACCCATTCCAGTGCCTCACCACCATCACAGGAAAGAATTTCCTCCTTATATCCAATCTAAACTTCCCCTGTTTAAGTTTTAACCCATTATCCCTTGTCCTGTCACTACAGTCCCTAATGAAGAGTCCCTCCCCAGCATCCCTATAGGCCCCTTCAGATACTGGAAGGCTGCTATGAGGTCTCCATGCAGCTTCTCTTCTCCAGGCTGAACAGCCCCAACTTTCTCAGCCTGTCTTCATACAGGAGGTGCTCCAGCCCCTGATCATCCTCGTGGCCTCCTCTGGACTTGTTCCAACAGTTCCATGTCCTTTTTATGTTGAGGACACCAGAACTGCACACAATGCTCCAGGTGAGGTCTCATGAGAGCAGAGTAGAGAGGAAACAAACTTCAGAAGTTCCTAACTATTTCTGCTTCAGCATTACAAATCAGCAGCACACCACTCCTCTGAGGTGCACAGACACAACTGCTTGCTCGCAGCACAGCCCTCTTAGCTCAGTGATAAAACAAGCACAGGTAAATTTACTTAAATGAACTGTTTAAGATGAGCTGGATTAGAAGCTGTGTTTTCTCAGTGTAACAGGTCTGTTAAGTCACAGCAATAGGAACTAGTCCACACTGCCACTGATTCCAGTACCAATGAAATGGCTGTGAGCACTGGACAGTATGAAGCGGTTTCCCCAGCAGGAGGACAGACAAGTGCTGCTGGGCCCCCCCCAAGGAGTGACAGAAGTAGCTGCTCACCTGGATTTTAGGGCACTGCTTCATCTTGTCCTCCTGGGGTATCGTGTTTGTGACCACAACTGCCTCAAAACAGGCGTTGTTGATCCGAGAGATTGCCGGCCCAGAAAAGATCCCGTGAGTTAGGATAGCATAAACTTTGGTGGCTCCTGCTGACACAAGCCTGTAAGGTGGGAATGAGGAGGATGAGGAATTCTTAGCAAGTATTAAATTGATATTAATGCAAGGCACTTGGTAAGCATCAAAGGAGACAACAGCATATGCTTAAGGGACAGGCCGCCTTTGACTCCCCCCTCCAGCCCACTACTGTGTTGGGGAAACAGTTCACAACAGCACCATAAAACCCACCACAGGAAATATACACTGGGAAAAAAAGTGTTCTAAGCCCTTTTGGGACATTTGGACTAGGTTATAAACCACTTTCCATGGGTTTTGCCACCACAGGGAGCAGGTTTTTAATACCGAGTGATGTATTTGCTGGTGTTTCTAGTGCAGAAGGCTTGAACTTACTTCAGATAGAAACTCACGTATGACCTTAACCTGGTGCACCAGGCATCATTTAGTTCTACCTGCACAGCCAGTGAGGGTCTAGTGGAAGCATTTCAACACAAGCATTTTTCAGATAAAAAAGACACTATGGTCCTCTACCTATTTCCATTATTTCACTTATTAAAGTGAGAACTTTAATCAGGCTTTTTACTTATGTTGTATGACAGGCAATAATCAAGAAACTGATACTTGACATTCAAATAACCTGCTTAACCCACGCCATAGCTTTCACTAACTGTAGGTTCCTGACTTAGGAAAGAATCAATCAGCCCTACTCACTTGTCTGCAGCATGACAGATGGTACCACATGTGTCTGCCATATCATCTACCAGAATGGCCACTCTGTCTTTCACATCACCCACCAGGACCATGCGATCCACTTCGTTTGCCTTCTTGCGCTCCTTGTGAATGAGGGCGAAGTCTACATTCAATCGATCTGCAATGGAGGTCACTCTGAAGAGAAAACAGTTTCCAAACAACACTTAACTCCACACCAGCTTCAACTGAACCTCTTAAAGCTATTAAGCACAACCTGCCACTGCAGTAAGAGAAGCTGTCACCACATCTGCTCCTGCTCCAAGCAATTAGTAGAAGATGCTCTGCCACCTGAAGTTTCCCTTCAAGCAGTTAAACTGCAATTTCTCATCTGATCTTTCCCAATGACAGCAAGCAGATTAAGATAAAAGTCTTCATCCTGACCACTGTACATTAATTTGCACTTGCAGCTCAAAGCGTAGTCAGCAGATCTGGCAAACCTGAAGTGATGAGAATGCTTGGGAAGTTGTCATCTGTGTAACGCTACCCTGGAAACGCTTCAGTTGTGCCTCAACAGGGATCTACTCACACTCATATAATCATTCAGTTATCATGCATGCAAGTGCTGGCATAAACACAGTGAAAAGATAAACATCCAAGAAACCCAAGCCCACCACCTCACATTTACTTTGGTTAGAGTGCCCATGGCACAACCTTACTGGAGGGACCTAAACTTCATGTACTGATACTCATGAACAGTAAAAGCATTACGAGTGTGAAGGAACAAAATACACATGCCCCTAAGAAATTCTACACTTGGGATAAGCAGACTGAGCCTTGGCAGATGAGACTCATCACCCTGGAAGTGATACAGAAGCTTGTTAAACTGAATTGTTTTCTGAATTATTTCGTTCTGGAGTATCTCCATAAAGTGTCGCATCAGCCAAGATCCCCACATTTCAGTTTAAGTGGCCTTTGAAGAGGTTTTTGAGGAGTCAGATGACTTGGCATTCCATATACTGCATTATGCAACAAGCTACAGAAGTGGCTGAACCTACAAACGGTCCTGTCCAACACACGGGCCACAACAAAGCTACAGAAGACATACAGCAACCTACAGTGCATTTATCTGTTGGCTGTTTGTAACAGATAGCTGAGAACACTTACAAGTATCTGAATCAGGTCAGCATGCACCAACATTCTGGTGTTAAGTCTTGACTTAATTAAGTCTTCAGATCCAGATTTGGTGTCTGGATTAAAGATACATCTCCATCCCTTTGCTCTTCACATGTAGCCCTCAGTACAGAAGTATGAAGGAACAGCTTAGTTTCACAGAATCATGGAATAGTTAGGTTGGAAAGGACCGTAAGATCATCAAGTTCCAATTCCCCTGCCATGGACAGGGACACCTTGCTCTAAACCATATCACCCAAGGCCTCATCCAACCTGGCCTTGAACACTGCCAGGGATGGAGCATTCACAACCTCCCTGGGCAACCCATTCCAGTGCCTCACCACCCTAACAGGAAAGAATTTCCTCCTTATATCCAATCTAAACTTCCCCTGTTTAAGTTTTAACCCATTACCCCTTGTCCTACCACTACAGTCCCTAATGAAGAGTCCATCCCCAGCATCCCTATAGGCCCCCTTCAGATACTGGAAGGCTGCTATGAGGTCTCCACGCAGCCTTCTCTTCTCCAGGCTGAACAGCCCCAACTTTCTCAGCCTATCTCCATACAGGAGGTGCTCCAGCCCCTGATCATCCTCGTGGCCTCCTCTGGACTTGTTCCAACAGATCCATGTCCTTTTTATGTTGAGGACACCAGAACTGCACACAATGCTCCAAGTGAGGTCTCACAAGAGCAGAGTAGAGGGGCAGGATCACCTCTTTGGGCCTGCTGGTCATGCTCCTTTTGATGCAGCCCAGGATACGGTTGCTTTCTGGGCTGCCAGCGGCTACTGCATCCAGCTCATGTTCATTTTCTCATCGACCAGCACCCCCAAGTCCTTCTCCACGGGGCTGCTCTGAATCTCTTCTCTGCCCAGCCTGTTTCTCTTAATAAGCACCCAAGAACATTCTGAACTGCTCAGAAACTGGCACATTTATATGCTGGAAGAGGGGAGATTGTCAGACTACCAAAGTAGAAATGTGCCGTAACAGATGCTGCTGCTTTTTGGAAAGGAACCATCTATCTTCCTTGCTTCCAGCCGGCCAGTAGCAAGCTTAAGTCCCAGCTAGATATTAAAATCAAGAGTAATACAGTAAGTGCGTTGATAAGCTCAGCTTAACACTGCAAAGCAAGCAGCCTGGATAAAAATGTATCATTGACCAGCAGCAGTCTTGTCCTGGCATAGGGCTATGAATTAAGTAACTCCCTTCTTCAACCTGCATAATCAACCTTCTACAAACAAACTGGTTTAGTCCAAGGGATGTAGTAATGACCCAATTCCTACCTGTGCAGCTGTGATTCTAGAAGGTGTTTAATTCTCCATGTAGCTCAGGAAATATTCTAAACATTCCTTAAGGAGACTATCTGACCATTCCTCACTAGCTGCCACATACTGCCTTACAGAAGGCAGGCCAGCAGAGAGAACGTGTGTTGTAAGAATAAGGTGACAAACACTCTCAGGAATTCAAGAACATCCAGAAGCAGCACCTCAAGGTGGCTGGCTGACAGCTTACCTCTTGGCTCCACCGGCATCTGGTGAAACAATGGTGCAGTTCTTCCACTCTGCAATATTCTCTTTGATCCACTTCAGTACAGCAGGCTCAGCATATAAGTTATCAACAGGGATATCAAAAAAGCCCTGCAAGGAAGACAACAGGAATAGATGTAACTGAAGGTCACATTCCAACAACAGCTGGAAGAAGCATTCTGTATGATCAGGCATGCAGCCACCTCATTTCCACAGCTTTCAGCTTTCCTTTCTACTTCCCTTAATGCTAGGGCAGTATGTTTTGGGATCCAGAGACCAGTAACATAAGGAGCCTTCAGAGCCAGAAATAGTTTAGCAGCATCAGTAACACTACATCTGACACCTTCACAACATGGACCTAGTTCTATCCTAAGGGGATGCAGAAACCAGCAAACACTCATTTTCAGAGCAGCTATCTGCCTGTTTACAGAGTCAGTCTTTAAAGCCCATTACCTAAACTGCTGGCATCGACAGGAAACCTATGAAAAGGCTTGAGCAACATTTGTTTATAATCTAATGCTGTTCCCACAACTTTACACTGCCCCAGCAGATGCCTCCAGGTAAACCTCAAAGGTCACTAAAAGCTAGAAGTTAACCCTGGACAGGGAATAAAAGGCAGGAGAGTGGGGGCAGCTACTCTAGAGGAATGTGTCAAGGTATAGGGGAATAGATACTTCCTGCCATCATTCCTTCTGTGCTCAGCAACCCAGCAGCTACAAAAACCAGGCTGAAACCAGACAAATGCTGGAAGTGTATGTACACAAACCCAATTATTCAAGTGAATCTCACCACTGCTGCTGGTGAAAGCTCAACCCTATGGCACACATCATAACTCCAAGCCTCTTAGGGAAGAGGCATCCCCACATCTTGGGATCTGTTCTTTCATTCCATGATCTTTCTGACAGTCTTCTCATCTGTGCCCCAAAGATTTTTATTTATTTCTATTTGAGACAAAGTATTTCTGGGCAAATTACTCTGGAAGAAACTGCACTGCAGCAAATGGCTGCATCTGTAGAATCTCCATCCAGCCCGCCTACCTACCTCACCACCAGCAGATATCTCACCCTTCTTGATTCAAACTATTTGCAGCAATACAAGAGATATCTTCTCCACCTTTCTGTTACATTGAGTTGGTTTCTTGGTCTCAGAGCACTTGCTCAAGGTGAAAAGAAACAAGATTGGTAACGGAACAGCTTGCTGTCTCTCCTCTCCCTGGTATAGCTCTTGCCACTTCTCTTACACAGCTCTGGGCGAAACTTCAATTGCTCTGTGAGACTGTTCTGTTCACCAAGCCAGCAAAATCCATGAATAATTTTCAATTCACCAACAGCTTGGAGAAGAACCAAAACCCACTTATGTGGAAGGGTGGCAATGAATGGATACAAGTGGGATTGCCCATGTTGTCAACAGCAAGCTATCAGATCACTGTCCTGGTGAACTGGACCCTCATAAGCAGCTGTGACAGTGCTCCTGGAGGCAGAGCTAACTGCTCACTTCTCCCTGATAATTCAATAAATATCAGAAAGCTCTACTGAATATTTAAAATCACTCTTGATAAAGATATTTTGCATCTCAAATCCCTCAAAGGACCAGTTAAGAGCACACAGTGTCACCGTGTGGCAACAGAAATTGCATGGATCATATACTAGCTCAACATTCATTTACACAGGGCTCAATATGCTCAGTCTGCTCAAGAACAGCTGTAATTTCATTTACAGGTGAACCCCTTACCCATCTCCCTCTTCTCTTCTGATTGACTCTACTCTTCCAGTCCCACATTCCCAAGTCCTGATCACTGCTGTGTCTAAACAAACCCAGGTTGCTGGAAAGCCTGCAAGGCAGTAAAGATGCTCAGACTGGAGCAGGTAAATACTTCCTGATTTTTAACTCCTACCTGAATCTGAGATGCATGCAGGTCCATGGTGATTATATGATCTGCACCTGCCACAGACAGCATGTTTGCAACCAGCTTGGCAGAGATTGGAGCTCGACTCTAGTACAGGAAAAAACAGCATTTAAGACAAGTTCAACTCCTTCACCAAGATGTCAGTCTTCCACTTCTAGGCAATGATTCACAAGCAGTTACTAAAAGGAGTACTCATTTACATTGCATCTTTTCATCAACTGGTGATTACAGCCTGGTGCATTCTCAAGAAGAACTAGCTCTTTATGAAAAGATGAATTTGCAGTCCGATGCCCTGAGGTTTAAAGAAATTAAAATAAGTTTTATTGCCTCCTTTACATATTCAGCTAGATCTAATTCCAATACAGCAGTCAGGGCTTTTTATTCACCTTCTGAGCAGGAAGTTTAGCAGATCCCTTACCTTGTCCTTTTTGTCCTGCCGAGCATAAGGGAAGCAGGGTATGACAGCTGTGACTCTGCTGGCAGAGGCAATCTTACAGGCATTTATCATGATAAGGAGCTCCATCAGATTGTCATTGATTTCACCACAGCCACTCTGCACAATGTAGACGTCCTCCCCACGTACACTCTCGCCTATTTCCACACTGGGAACAAATGAGGAAAGGAGAGTTGTACCCAGATGCAAATTAAAACACAGCCCATTACATATGCCTGCAGAGCAACCAAGGCACTGCATTCCCCAGGGTCTGTGGGTAACAGTGCCATATAATCAAGGGTGTTGAACAGGAACACTGCTGCTTATTTGCTCAGTAACTGTTTTACATCTCCCTAATGGTTCAGTCAAGCTAAAAGCACTCAGCCTGCACTCTGGATCAATACAAGCTGAGCACGTAAACACCCCAGAGCAGGCCTTGGTCCCCCTGAATCACAAGTACAACCACCTCAGCTGAAAGCAGCAGCGTACAAAGGAAGCAAGGATGGTGGCCAACCAGCAGAGAAAGCAGAGCCAAACTTCTACCAGAAGCTATGCTGCAGCTGGTCACTATATTTAGAGTCATAACTGCTATTCACTGGCTTGAACAGACATGCTCTCCAGCATTCCCCTTTGGAAAAGCTTTTGGGGTTAATTTCCTCCTGGATGCAATGCACACTAATCCCTGCTGATGAAGGGACTGAATACAAGCCAAAGGTCCTGTTTGCCAGCAGCAAACTGCCAGCTCCAGCGCATGTATCAAGACACCTGCACCAGAAGCAAAGCTGGAAAGAAAGCAAGAGCCTTAGCTTTGAGGCTTCATACAGGGCAAAGCTGCATAAGGCCTTTTGTTGAGGAACAGATTAACTACTAACTAGTTTCAACATTTCAGTTTAGAGATGACTGCCACAGATTTGGAAGTAACCAGAAGTCAGTCTAAGGACAAGTATCTCGCAGTTTGTTTCTATCTGGCACTGGAGATGCTCACCCACTCTGCAGGCTGCTGCCACATCAAACTCTTCAGAAGCAGATTACCACCCACTCCACTCCCAATGGCTTCATTTACACAGCACCTTAAGCTAGATTTTAATGTTAATATTTAACTCTCTGAACTTCCTCCTCATTTATTCAACATGGGTTTGATGACTGCTACCTATTTACAGTCTTACTGCTCAACCTCCGTCAGCAAACTGCAGTCACCTTCACTGCACACTGGCTTACACCATATACCAACCTCTCATGAAGCATGAGGCAAGCGTACGAGGTAGCAGTAGCTGGCACACAAGCATCTCCAACTGCACTCACTAACAGTCAGTTAAGCTGATTCAGGCCATTTATAACACAAATGAATCCATGAGCTATTTGCTGAAATAATCTTCCATTTTCTGGGAAGCATCCGCTATCAGTTTATGAAGGTAAATAAGATTTCTCTGAGGTCTTAAAAGTCACATTTCCTGCTGACATCAGAACTTGCTGGCTGGCCAGCTGGATGCAGAAGGGCAGTTAATAGAGAGCAATGAGAACAGTGCAATGGCTGAGAACCAGACTCAAACTCTCCTCTACAACTCTCTGAAGTTCTCAGTTACAATCAATACTCATGCAACAGAAGCATAATATTCTACCTCATGCGTACACCTTGGATTCTCCTGGCAAGAGTTTTTGTTTCGAGAAGAAATACGAGGGTTGGAGCAATCATTCAAGGTTCTCTGTATTACACTGTGTGGTGTATACCTGCCTAGTGTACTTCTCTAAACCAAGCTTTAAGAGCTCTGAATAAATTCTTAGCCTCTCCTTTCTTTCAGCTTCTCCAAGTACAATAGCAGCAACTTATAAAGCATAGAGACAGAAAACAAGGCAAATTAGGTTTCAGAGCTCGGGGGGAACACAGGAGTGCGTGACTGCAGTCGCATCATGGGCTGTAAGGTGGTGTCAGCCTCTTATCTTCCCTGAATAATTTTAGCAGTACCTTTAAAGACTCTGATGCTCTTCAGAGCAGTTTAAAGGCACCAGCTGGGGCTTCAGCACAAACCTGTCAAGCCTCAAGCCATCACAGTCTAGGCTATGCATGGAAGAGGCTCGTCAGTGCAGATGAAAGCCGGGAAGGCGCATTCCCATCAGCTCCTAGCTACTGGGGTTGTGTGTGTGGGGGGGGAAGTCCGCCTGGTGAATCCCGCCGCTCCGACCTCTGCCACAGAGACCGGGTGACACCGCCCCCGTGCTCCGCGTGTCGGAGCCCCGCAGCCCGCAAGGTGCAGGCGGAACACCAGACCCGCGGTGGGAGCCCCGCGCTCCGCGGCACAGGCGCTTTCCGAGCAGGCCGCTAGAGGCATCGCCGGGGCCGCGCAGCCGCCAGCACATGGCCCGGCGCCCCCGGGAGCTCTCCAGGGAGCACCGCACCCGCGGCCTCCCCCATCCGAAACACACCCCCCCCCCTTCCCCCGGGGCTCCCCGGTGGGCCACGCTTCACCGGGCCGGGTGCTGTCGCTGCCTCCCAGCCAGCACTCGGTACACGGCACGGTCGACGTGCTGCCCCATGCGCTGCTCCACACAACACGGCTGCGGGCGCGGAGCTCGTCAAGCGGAGCTGCGCGGAGACCGCTCTGCTGAAGGCCGTCCACGGGAGACCCGGCCCGGCGCGGCCCAACGGCTGCTCGCAGGGGAAGGGCAGGTCGCGGCCCGCCAACCCGCACTACAAGCCCCAGCAGCCCCTGCGCGGCGATTGTGCGAGACGCACCGCGGCAGCGCCCCGCGGCCCGCCGGGAGCCGTAGTGCGGCCCCGCCTCACCATGTCTCCTGGTTGCTGAACTTCTTAGTGACCACCTTGCCCAGCTCCAGGCCGAGGCGGTCCGCGATCTTCTGCGACAGGTCCTGGTGCGAGCTCCCGCTGAAGATCTTGATGTTGGGCATGATGGCGGCTGCGGCACCGACGCTCTTCTCCTTCTCCTCGTCCCCGCTCCGCCTCGCACCGCAGCCGACCGCCGCACGGGGACCCGCCCGCCTCCTGCGCGGGACGCGGCACGGTGAGCGCTGGCCACGCCGCCTCGCCCCTATTCCGCCATTTTGCCCCTTCCCGCTCACCGCGCAGGCCCTTTATAGACTCCTGACCCCCGCGGACACGCCCCTTCTCGCTTTCTATTGGCTGCGATGCGACCGGGGGCGGGTCCCTTCCCGTCCCCGCAATGGCGCGAAAGAGCGGTGGGCGTGGCTCAGCGCCCCGCCGGAACAACGGGCCCCTAGTGGGGAGACGCGGGAGGGGAGTCCCTCTACGGGGTGGGGCGTAGCGCAGGAGGAGGTCTACGATTGGTCGCCGCCTGTCCGCCTGGCCTGCGATTGGTCAGCGAGGCAGGAGCGTCTGCGGAGTAGAGGGTTCGTTAATGGAATGATTGGCAGTCTCCCCCCGACCAGCAGGCAAGATGGCTGCCGTCCTTCAAGGGAGGCCCTAGGGGGGCAGCAGCGAAGGGGAGGGAAAATGGCCCCGCTCCCGCCGCAGGCTGCCCGCGCCCCGTGCTGGCCTCCGAGCCCCGCGGCCTCCGAGCCCCGCGGCGGTGCCGGATGCGGGGGTTACCTCAGCATGCCGGTGTGCGTGCGTCCGCTGCCTCCTCCCGCTGCCGCCGCGGCCTGCTCTGCGCTGAGCAAGCGTCACCCCGCCGGGCCGCAGCACCGCGGCGTAACGCGGTGCCCTAGCGGCATGCTGCACCGTGTCACCCCGTACCGCCGAGTCACGCTGCGGCGGCACCCGGCCACCCCCGGCCAGGCTGCGCGGGCACCACCGCAGCGGCGCTGGGGTCACCCCGCTGCCACACGGCAGTCCCCCGCTGTGCTGCACTGCGGGCGGCGGCTCGGGGTGCCTGAGCTCCGCCGGGTCACGCTGGGCTGCAGCCGCCTCCTAAGCCAAGCCCCGAGGTGTGGGGTGATGGCCCGCAGAGCCATGGGCACCCCCCGCTTCATGTCCCTCGGTGATGATTACAGAGAATAGGTTATCAGAAAGGGAAATTGCAGCTTTCCGTGCACAAACAGCCCAGGGACTGAGTCAAACACAGCAGGGGAAACGGGAGCTCTGCTGCCAGATCAGCCGTGCCCGCAGCGGTCGCACTGAGCAGGGCTGTCCCCAGCTACTGGCTTCAGATGCTGGGTGGGATAATGTGTCATCATTACCAAGTTGGATGGTGGTCCTTCAGCCGAAGAGAAACCTTTTGCTTTTTTGTTGTGCGTGCTTCTAGGCTACAAACCCCACTAATACTCGTTTTTCTTTGCTTTTTGTTTCAAGGATGCTGTGCTTGGTCTCATTCCCTTTGGTGAAGTGATACCGGTTCGAAAGTGAAACGATGGCAGCAGGCTTTGTGTGAGAGGAAGCATTGGCTTCTCATGGATGTATCCAGTCTGACTGGTCTCATAATAAACATGTTTTGCCCTTGTCCTCAGCATCTGCAGGCATACTTGCTGCTATTCATTTTTCTATTGGAAAGAACCTTTGGCAACACTTTGAGATTTAAAAAAGTTAAAATCAAATTGTGGATACCCTGGATTGCAGCTGCAGAGGTGGGGTTTTCACGATTGTAACAGGCCATTTAATTCCATTTCTGAGGGTTTTTTTACATTTGGAATTGGGGGTTTGTACCTAATCCTGTAAGCAGTCTCCTGCGAACATGCAGCCCGCATGTTATTACATTATGCGGATTAATTTAGCTTTTGCAGAAATAAACTTAGTGTTTAAAGGCTTTAAACCACACAAAATAGGCCACAAAGAGCTCCTTCAAAGTTTACATGCAGTTGTGTCCTTTCTGCTTGTTTTACTTGACTGCCACATAGGTAAAAAAACTTCTGCACTGAATTTCATATCGGTACATTATGGCTTTCACTCCTTGAATTCAATCAGAATCCATTATTCACAGAGACAGGGCACTTTTTATTCCATCTGGCAGCTATCCTGGCCCTGAATACTGCTGTCTCTATCACCAAAGGCCAGTAAAGTAATGATGACAAAATCATACTTTGAGGAGGTTTTCCATAACCCTTCATAGCATGTCACTTGGAATTAATCTGGATTAATATATATATGAATTCCCACGCTTAGCATCGATGAGAATTGCAATATCAGTATATGGTAATTTTAGGGTGTTGTTTTTTTTTGGTCCAGCAAGAAATCCAGTAATTTTGTTGGCATTCTGAGATGAGCCTTTCGCATTTCATAACAGCTTTTCCAAATGACAGTTTGGGATCATTGCAGTGGCTGTTCTGTACATATTTTTGAGTGATAAAGCTGAAAATTTACTCTAAAAACACCTTGAAGACCTCCCCACAGAACAGACTACAGAAGGGTTGTTACTCTATTGCAGTTGGCACAATTTGGAAGATGGATAACTCCATTCCAGTCTCCAAAATACCTGTTCGTGGTTTTGAACCTTTAGCTTTATTGCTTTATTCTTGGTTTAAATTCCATTTCCCCCTTGATCTTAAATGGAGAATGACAGTCTTCTGTGTTCCAACATCCCTGACCCCTTCCCGTTTACTTGTGAACCAGGCACAGGGAACCTGAGGCTGAAGGGAGTAGAAGGTACATTAAAACACATGAATGATGCCTCTCATTGACAAACTCTGTCTGAGCTTGCCCTACACAGGGCTTTTGAAGCAGCACGTCTATCGGTTTCCTCCTGGGATCACAGAGATGAGATCTGCAGGCGTGAACAATCTGACATTGGATGAAATTGGATCCTTAATCCTGTAAACCTGGGACTGGCAATCTTTCATGTGTAAAATCAAAGAGGGTTTCTTTGCCATTCTGAGCCCGACGCCAGCGTGCTGTCAGGAACCCCAGTAAGGTGGCAGAAGCTTCCCCCTAGGAGGGAAGATTGTGTGGAGCTGCTGGTGGATGACACCTTCTGTTCCTCCAAGGCAAATGGGGTCTCAGTGTTGGGACTGCTCATAGTCTCTCCAGCTGTGCATCATCTCGCTGCTTTGCACTGCTCACAGCAGCATTAAGTGGCCACAAGTGACATCTAAGTCAGTGCAACCCTTCAGCTGGTTCAGCTACCACAATGTCCTTAGGTTAGACAGCACTTAGGTTATGAGGGCTTCAGTCCACTACCTTTATGATTTGTCACTACCGCTTGTAAAGCTTTTGGAACAGGGTAATCTCAAAAGATTTGATTGAGGAGAAGCTCTTAATGCACCAAAGTCTTGGTTGAACAAAGCCCAATGAGGTCCTTGGCCAAAGCTTGTCTATTAGCAGCTTGCATTGCCATTTACTGAAGAAGGGACAAGGAGAACCAGTCTTGTAGAGAGAGATGTTTATCTGGTTCTTGGCCTAAACGGGATGAAGGGAGAGACTGCGTGGTTCAAAAGCATTGGCCTGTGAGTCAGGTTGGCTGTGAAAGGATGCTCAGGAAAATAATCACAGCCCGAGTGAAGCTGGGGTGTGGAAGTACATTGGAGTATCTCAGCTCTTGTATGGAGACCCTTACTTGGAATTAAAGCAGCTAATTCCAGTTGGCTTGCTTAATTCTGAAAGTCAAGTATAATAAATGCAATTATCTACTTCCAATATAAAGACTTTAATTTTCCTGTGGTTTACAATGTGGACAAGCACTTGGCTTGGGTAGTAGAAAGGACAAGTGTATAGTGTGAGCTCTCTGTGCTACCTCATGGTTTGGAAACTGTGAAGTAAATTACCGCGCAGGTAAGGAGAACCTGCAAGCACATAAATGGCAAAGCCCCTTTTTATTGACCTGGTTCCATGGAGATGCACTTAGTGAGAAATACCTTTGTGTTTCATGGCCTAGGAATATATTTTCCAGGAAGTTTTAAGCAGCGCATGAACTCTATCAAATTTCATGGTGATGCCAATCAGGACAAGTAGCCCTTGTCCCACTCTTGGCACATTCCTGCATACAATTGCCACTCAATTACCACCAGCCACTTAATCAAGGATAAATTTTTATGCAGAAGGCCTGTGGCTGGGGGTTTGTTTTTAGTCCCTCTTGCCTTGTGACTGCACTGCCTCGCAGCCAGTTCTGTTCATTTAATGAATGGCACTTGATAAGAGCAACACAAGGCTGTGCCCTTTGCACTGGTGGCTGAAAGAAAAGCCAGGGGAAAAAAAACACACTGGTGGTATTTGATGAAGCATCATAAAGTGTCCTGGACCATGTGCGTGTCCCCAGCCCTTTCATCTCTCTCCCCAGCCCTTGGGCTGTGCAGCAAACCTCAGAGAGGCAGTGCTGGGATTTCTGCCACTTTCTCACAGTGTTTTTGCTCTTCGGTGACTTTGTAATCCAGCTGCACAAACCACCCTCCCTGCTGACTCTGTGTCTGGGGGGCAGGTGACAGCAAGGGGCATCATCTCAGTTGGGCTGGAGGGTTGTGCAGTGGCTGCAGTGGGATGAGGCATCAGCAGGTTCCTCATCTGCTCATGCCCTGACATGGAATTACACAGCCTGATACAAAAACCCTCACAAAAGTTTTCTATCAGGTGTACAGGCTCGTTTCATATCTACTAAATAAGGTTGTGTGATGTAAATCAGCTGAGATCATAGAATCACAGACAGGTTTGGGTTGAAAGGGGCCTTAAAGCTCACCCAGTTCCAACCCCCTGCCACGGGCAGGGACACCTTCCACTAGAGCAGGTTGCTCCAAGCCCCTGTGTCCAACCTGGCCTTGAGCACTGCCAGGGATGGGGCAACCACAGCTTCTCTGGGCACCCTGTGCCAGCGCCTCAACACCCTCATAGGGAAGATGTTTTTTCTAATAACTAAATCTACCCTTTGTCATCTTAAAGCCATTCCGCTTGTCCTGTCCCTACAGGCCCTTGTTAAAAATCCTTCTCCTGATTTCTTGTCAGTCCCTTTAGGCACTGGAAGCTGCACTATGAGCTTCCTGGAGCCCTCTCTTCTCCAGGCTGAGTAAGCCCAGCTCTCTGAGTGCAAACATCCAGCCAATTCCTTATCCACCGAGTGGTCCATCGGTCAAATCCATGTCTCTCCAGTTCAGAGACAAGGATGTTGTGCAGGTCAAGGATGTTGTGCAGGAGAGTATCAAAGGCTTTGCACAGGTCCAGGCAGATGACATCAGTTGTGCT